TAGGGAAGGGGAGGGAGGGCAAGGCAGGGAGGGAGGGCAAGGTAGGTGAGGGCAAGGCAGGGGAGGGCAAGGTAGGGGAAGGCAAGGTAGGGGAGGGCAAGGCAGGGGAGGGCAAGGTAGGGGAAGGCCAAACCTTGACGCACTGCCAACGCACTACCGTATGCGGACCATGGTACAATGTGTGCGTCCCGGGTGATGAAGAGGCTGACGCAAAGACTGACAACCCTGACAGTTATTGATTTACTGACATGTTGTGGGTGTGTGTGGAATTAGCTCAACGTCAGCACGACCATGGCCGACCGAGAGAGAGAGAGAGAGAGAGAGAGAGAGAGAGAGAGAGAGAGAGAGAGAGAGAGAGAGAGAGATGTGTGTGTGTGTATGTAGAGGAAGGCTGAACTCACGCTTCTATAAATACCAGTAATAAACTAAGTACAATCACCACTTATGTAAACAGTAGAACTAATCAACAGTCAGCTCTTGTATAAAAAATAACAATTATCGACAACTGATACTATGTAATAAATAATCATGTTAGTCGAGATCCAGCGATTATATATACAACTGTATTTTTCAACACCCAGCGCTTGTATAACCAATCACACTTACCTAACAGCTGGTACTTGCATAATAATACCAATCAACAAGTAACTGTCGTATAACCATTTATATAAATCAACAACCATCTCTCGTACTACCTCCCATACTGATCAATAACAAGCTTACAGGTCACACTAAACAACTATCACTTGTTTAACATGTCATAGTAATCAACACTCATCGCTTGTTTAACCTGTCATACTAAGCAACAACTATCACCCCTGTACTTAATTATACTCATAAGAACTCACCATAATCCTCTAGAGTTAAATTATAGATACTCCAGCTAAGGCCAGAAATATTACCGAGGCGATGAGATCAAATCAGAAGACGTCAATATTTAGCGTCTTTGAGGACTCGATGCTGAAAGAGTCGTATGTTTTTTCTTCATGGTAACTGGGGATGTAAGAAGGTATATCTGTCTGTCGCATTTAGGTTGAGAATAAATATGGATTCTTAAAGTTTCGTGAGGTTAGGTTAGATTAGGTTAGGTAACGTTAGGTTAGGTTAGGTTAGTGTCTGTATAGTAACTGAAATTTTATCATACTTGAATTACAACCAAAATGTATTCTCAAAGGCTTGTACGTAAAAGTTTCATATTTCTTTGAGTTTTGATATAGCATCCAACTGGCTCACTTAAACTACGAGACAAAGATGACACCTAAAGTACACTGAGACTCTACCGTAAATAGAAGCGTTCTCTCATCCCCATGCAGGTGGAGGCAGAAATATCACCTCTGAGAACGCATTAGTAACACCTGTTGAGTGGCTGATGAAGGCGGCCTCCCCGTCCTCTTAGAAGCGTAGTTTAACTGAGTCATATATCCAGGTAGGAGTAAGCCAGGTAATATACGCACCTTAAAGAATCAATGTTTGTGTCGTGGCGTGAATGCAAGATGCCTTCGAGGATTCATAGTTAAAGGTAAAAATGTTTAACTTATGATTATCTGAGAATTCACCTTGGCGTCGCACCTGAGTTACACATATACATCCTAGTTTCAGATATAAAATTTACCTTACGTATATTTTAGAATCTACCTTTGCGTTGTATAAGTGAATCGGTTAGATAAAGCCTTTCCAACATTCATTTATAATTACAGATGCACCATATAACTTACGAACATTTTGTGACTCCATCTTTATATCGTATAGAAAGATTCCTTCTCATCAGTTGCAAGGACAAAGATGACTTACGAAAGTTTAGGAATTTAAACCCCCCAGGAAAGTAAGGTGGGAACTTAAGGAGGTTTGTTTCATTAGTTGGCGAGGCACGTAGCTACCTGATGTGAGGGGGTCTGATTGAGAGGGTGTCGAGTGCTTTCTGGGGCGACCTAAACAGTGTGTGTGTGTGTGTGTGTGTGTGTGTGTGTGTGTGTGTGTGTGTGTGTGTGTGTGTGTGTGTGTGTGTGTGTGTGTGTGTTGATTTTGTTGTATGCGGAATGTTTTTTTCTCTGGATGTGTGTAGTCTCTCTCTCTCATCCCACCACCACTTAACAAAGGTAACATTCCAAGAAGCGATGCACACTCAGGCGTATCTAATTGAAATGGTTTAAGCATGAAGGGAATATCAAGACGAGTAATTATAGACGTATTCAGGAAGCACACTCAAGGCCCAGTATTTGAGTTATCTCGCGCATCTCAGATATCCCAGGTACTCAGGTTATCCCAGGCCTTGAGGTTATCCCAGGCTCTTAAATATCCCAGGTTGTATTTTTTAAAGGATTGCAGAATCTTAGGTACTCATAAAGAGATCGGAAGTACTCATTCATTTAATACATGATCACTGTATTTCTTCACTGTATTTCTTAATTGATCTTTAACAAAAATCTTCAAGATGTATTATTTACCCAAGTTTATCGATTTTTTTTCTTATTTACAAATTTTATCAAATCGTCTATGAACCTCGCTTTATTTACTCTTTGTTTACATTAGATCTCCTTTATGTTAACCTCGCTCATAGGCAACACTGCTTACCTTAAGTATTTCTGACCACCTGATTAATATGCTACTGGGTGTCTATCTTGGTATTTCGGCCATGTTACATTGTGGTAAATGTGGATGAGGGAAAAACATGGTTTATTGGTAGTGTGTGACTTGTTGTGAGAGAGAGAGAGAGAGAGAGAGAGAGAGAGAGAGAGAGAGAGAGAGAGAGAGAGAGAGAGAGATTAATTCTATACAACTTTTGTAAAGGAAGAAAAACGGACAAGAATTCATTTACGAGATCCAACTATAATCCAGGCCATGTGGGATACTGTACCTCTGTTGAAGAAAGAAATAAGTTCATTCAGCTAATATACTGCGTAATGTTAGTTCAAACCTCTATCCTCTTCACCGACTACCCAGATTAAACATTGCTGTGGTTATCAAACACGTATGTATTAAGGACACTGAAGCTACAAGAGTCACCCATCGCGTCGTAGAAACTGTCACTGGCTGTAGTGTAAACAAACTAAGGCTGTTACTGTTCTCCCACGTTCAGGGAGCCATAAGTCTGCCAGATATTGTTAGAATTTACTGGTATTCTTACACGTCTTAGGTCTTGGTGATGCACTTTCATGTACCAAGTAATCCAATCCCTGTTGTTGAATATATTCCGTCTACAAGCAAGTGTTTCGGTTGACAGAAAAACGATTAGATTGGAAACTCGGAGAGAGCTTCCTGGTTTAATATCCCTGCTTTCCTCCCTTTCACTCCCATGATCTTTGAAAAGGGGAGGAGAGATTGTGGAGTGTAAGGATGAGTAGGAGGAGGTGGGGAGGTTATTGGGTGTAAGGAGGAAGAGAAGGTGGGGTGGTTATGGGTTTAAGAATGGGGAGAAGGAGAATAAGGTTTAGAGGTTATGGGGTGTAAGGATGAGGAGGAGGAGAAGGAGCAGGTGAGGAGGTAGCCAGTAGGAATAATATATGACGAGGAAGGTGTAATATATACAAGCTCCTGAGGGGACAAGTGTGGTTCCAGCTGGGTACACGCTGGTCACCTGCACTGTTTATATTCCGGGTGTGTCCATTCATTTGTGTCTCATTCATCAGTATGTCTTTGCCGAGTGTTTCATTCATCAGTGTGTCTCTGCTGAGTGTTTCATTGTGTTCGTGTTGAGTGTTTTATTTATTGGTTTGTGTTAGACGCATGTTTTTCATCTCTCTCTTATCCACCACCAATCCATCAAATACAAATATCCCCGACCATTTCTTATTCATCTCTTGTATTCCGGTCAACCCTTGGGCCTGTCGTTCATCCATCATCAACTTTTCCTATAATAACAAAGTCATTCCTTGTCATCCATCCACCCTTCGTCGCCTGCTAAGTTGTGTTAAGTGACGTGTAATTTGTGCCACCTGTATTACTATCAAATATTAATCCTAAGTAAAGTTCATAGGATTTATACATTTGTAGTCTTGGTGCATTTTAGACGCCATTTTGGGTCATCACCTGTGTTAAATTTATATTTTCTATTTATTTATTTATTTATTTATTTATTTGTGTGTGTGTGTGTGTGTGTGTATGTGTGTGTGTGTGTGTGTGTGTGTGTGTGTGTGTGTGTGTGTGTGTGTGTGTGTGTGTGTGTGTGTGTATGTGTGTGTGTGTGTGTGTGCCACTCAGCAGGTTGCCACTTTCCATTATCCCCTGCCAACACTGCTAGCTCTTTGACTTTACTGTGGTCATGATTCTTGTTGGTTTAGTGGAGCAAACACACACACACACACACACACCAGTGTTTATGTGTGTACTGGGATATACCTCTCACTGATGTATACAAACACGATGAGTATTGTGTGTAGAGTTAGTGTGCTGGTCAATCTGGAGTGTTTATCGCCAGCTCCGGGCTTACTGTCTCAATAAAGAAGTATTCCAACAAGGGTTTATTAGTATTTACCGGAGATACATTTTAACAGGAAGATCTTAAGAATATCACGAGGATGGGTTCGAACTGTATCGTAAGTTTGGTTTAAGTTTATTTAAGGTTTAGCTAAAATGTTTCTGTGGTTTATATATGTCTATTCACTTGGTTTAAATTCTACCAGGAGGTTCTTGTAGGAGGTGTAGGCAGGTAACACTAGTTCTTGGGGCAGAGATACACAGTTACAAGTAACCAGGAACGTGATGGCCTCAGTTGGTGGTGGGGGGGGGATGTTGTGGTGTGTGGGTGTACCTGTATGTATTACCTGCTTGTTGTCTCACCTCAGGCGCGGCACTCAAGAGGTCATATGTACTCCCTGATATCTGTGTTTCTCTCGTGTTCTCTCATAAGACCAACGCGATTCCTTCTTGTACGAGGAAAAGTGAGTCTTATAATTAGATGCTTCAGTGGTGCTTTATTTGGGGTAATTCGTATTATTTGTTATGATTGAAGTCTCTTACGTCATAATTATATCTTGGTGTTACCTTTCTCACCTGTGTTACAGAAGCTTCACCTTAGATAAAGTGCTACAACATTATGAGTGTGTGTGAAATCATAGAAAATATATTATACAGTAGAAAAATAAGATAAAAACCCCAATACAAAATATATATCTATTAGAATGTCGAAAATGACCAAAGCGGCGAGAATAACATATATTAGCCTCATACTATGACCTATGTCGAGACTCATTCTTAAGGATGGGATTGACAATAATACTCAGAGTGTGATATGGTTACTTTAGTGTGTCGGTAAGGAATTAAAGGCCACTAGTGTCCCCCCCCCCCAAAAAAAAATAAAATAAAATAAGTGTGGTGTGTGTGTATCAGTGTGTGTTAGTGTGTTGTGGTGAACCTTCCATCCAATTCCCCAGTATAAAGGAAAAAAAACTGGGGAACGGATTTGTCTCGCCGCCCTCAGCTGGACCTTCTGCCCGACACCCACCCATCATGAGGACCGTCTATCACTGCGTCTGGGTGAGTGTTAGTGTTGTAGTTTTTCCTGTGATGATATTTGTGTTGTTCTTGTGTTGATGTAGTCTCTCATTTTTCCCTTTTTTCTTTTGTCCCCTTTCTGTCATCCTTTCGTTTCTTTCCTCCTCCCTCTTCCCCTTCCCATCCATTTCACTACGTCCCTTCCTCTTCTCCTATCCCCTTCATCTACCTCTTCTTCCCTCTTACCCACCACCATAAGAACCAACTCCTGCCTCTTAAATTTTTTGGGGGTAAGTGTCACTCTTTGTTTTCATTTGATTTTCGTCTTTTCTAATATTTTCTTCTATTTCCTTTTGTATATATTTAGGTTAAGTGTTTGTTCAGAAATTGATGATGAACTTCTGTGTATTCAGTTGGAACTCAGTGACTGCTTTGGTTACCTGTGGTTTTTACCTGTGTTAATTAACCTTTATTTTGTCGAGGTGAAAGACAGGTGTATGTAAGTTTCTCTTCTGCCTTCCGTAAGTGTGTGTTATTTTTGTTCTATCTTACATGTGTTATATTTCTATGCCTTTGCGAACAACAGACACACTACTGTTAGCTTCCTGTCATCTGTTGTGTACTGTTGTTGATCTGTTGTCTGTTATTGCTGATCTGTTGTATACTGCTGCTGTTAACATAAGAACATAAGAATGGAGGAAACTGCAGCGGGCCTATTGGACCATACTGGGCAGTCCCGTTTACACCCAACCCCTATTGCTCATATAAGCATCCAACCTATGTTTGAAGCTATTCAGCGTATTCGAGTTAATGATGATATTTGGTAACTTGTTCCATTCATCCACTTCTCTGTTTCCAAACCATTGTTTACCTATTTCACACCTAAATCTAAATTTGTCTAATTTAAAACCATTGTTACGAGTTCGCTCCTGGTTGGATAGTTTGAGTACCTTTGTAATGTCCCCTTTGTTTAGCCCTGACTTCCACTTATACACATCTATCAGGTCGCCCCTCGCTCTACTTCTCTCGAGGGAGTGCAAATTAAGATGCTTTAACCTGTCTCTATACTCAAGGTTCCTAATGCCCGGGATTAGTCTTGTCATTCTCCTCTGAATTTTTTCCAATGATTCTATATCCATTCTGTAATACCGTGGCCAGAACTGAACTGCGTAATCCAGGTGTGGTCTCACAAGCGCAAGATACAGTTTTAGGATGACCTCCCTAGTATTGTAACTAACACTCCTTTGTATGAACCTAAGTACTTTATTAGCCTTGTTACGAGCAAAAACACATTGTTTACTTGGCTTAAGGTTCCTGCTTATCATTACTCCTAAATCTCTCTCGCAGTCGGACTTCTCTATGGCATCGTTGTTCATCTGGTATCTGGTTTCCCTGTTTACATCTCCTATACTGAGTACTTTACATTTGTCCACGTTGAATTTCATCTGCCATTTTTCCTACCATTCGAAAAATTTGTTTAGATCTTCCTGTAGTTTTGCGGAGTCCTCGTCAGATTTAATAACACGTCCTATTTTACTGTCATCAGCAAATTTACTTATGTTGCTGTCTATGCCGATATCTATGTCGTTTATGTATATAATAAATAATAATGGTCCAAGTACTGGGCCTTGGGGAACTCCACTTGTGACGTTGCTCCAATGGGACTTAGTGCAATTAATGCTCACTCGCTGTTTCCTGCCCTGTAACCACGCCCTAACCACCTTTCTAATTAGTCTTTCGTGGGGGACTCTGTCGAAGGCTTTGCTAAAGTCGAGATATACCACATCATAATTGTGCCCCTCGTCCACCGATTCGAAAACTGATGAAAAGAATGTTAATAGATTAGTTAGACAAGAACGTCCGCTTGTGAAGCCATGCTGGGAATCATTGATCAATCTGTGCTTCTCCAGGTGATTTCGAATAGAGTTTGAAATGATTGCTTCCAGTAATTTGCCTACTATTGATGTTAGACTGATTGGGCGTTAGTTAGAGGATAGTGATCTATCCCTCTTCTTGAAAATCGGTATTACCTTCGCTATCCTCCAGGATTCTGGTACTACACCTGTTTTTAAGGACATGTTAAACAACTTTGCTAAGGGCATACTAAGCTCTTCCTTACATTCCTTTAATACTCTGGCAAATATCTCATCGGGACCAGGTGACTTATTAGGCTTTAGTTTGTTGATGCGTTATTTGCTGTTGTTGATCATATAAATTATCTCTTGTAAAGTTGTTCATTAAAGTAGAAACAGTTGACGAATATTGAACCAAGTCTTTTGTGAATTACGATAGGTTAAAGAAACTAAACTTGCATTCCCTAGAAAGACGAAGAGTGCGGGGAGATATGACAGAAGTATTTAAGTGGGTGAACGGAATCAATAAAGGGGATATAGATAAAGTTCTTATAATATCCGAGCAAGATAGGACTCGGAGCAACGGATTTAAGTTGGATAAGTTTAGGTTTAGGAGGGAGATAGAAAGGAACTGGTTCACAAATAGGGTGGTGGACGAGTGGAACAAGCTTAGCAACTTTGTAGTAAGTGCTGGAACTCTGGAAAGTTTCAAAAGGAGGCTAGATAGATTCATGGATGATAGAGAGTGGTAGTAACTCTCGACAGGAGCTGCCATGCACAGACCAACCGGCCTATTGCAGACTCCTTATTTTCTTATGTTCTTATGTAACTTGTCACTTGTGCACTCCAAGGAAAAGCACAAAAACACAGCAGTGTAATACGGAGTGTGGCTGGATCTGACCTAACCTGACCTGACCTCACGGCTTCACCTGACCTAACCTGAAGGATGGAGCACACCTGCATTGCCCCAAGCTACTCCCCTGGCCACGTGGACACACACCTGCCCAACCGCATCCAGCTCATACGAGCACGAACTGATCACTATAAGAACAGCTCAGTCCCATCCACTGTAAAAGTTATCAACACCTAATTATTATATACCATATTTGTCTCACTTATGTTACCTGTACATCATTTGTAAATCAAGAGACCCATTCCCTAATTATGTAATTGTATATTTTCAGCTTTCCGGCTGCCATGCTCTTTCAATAAACCGTTAATTATTATTATTATTATTACACACACACACACCAAACAGTTGTTCGTAAATATACAAACATCATTTAACTTTTCGAACAGTTCCATCCGAAGTAAATTCCATTTGTTCCTTGCTCCTCCACCTACTCTCCCACTCCACCCACTGTCCCGTCCTCCCACTCTCTCCTCCACCCTCTCTTCCCCTTCCCCTCTCGACAGGAGCTGCCATGCACAGGCCAACCGGCCTATTGCAGACTCATTATTTTCTTATGTTTTTATGTACTCTCTACCTCCACCCACTCTCCCCTCCACCCACTCTACCCCTCCACCCATTCTCATCCTCCACCCAGTCTCTCCTCCACCCACTCTCTCCTCCACCCACTCTCCCCTCCACCCACTCTACCCCTCCACCCATTCTCATCCTCCACCCACTCTCTCCTCCACCCACTCTCCACCCACTCTACCCCTCCACCCATTCTCATCCTCCACCCACTCTCTCCTCCACCCACTCTCCCCTCCACCCTATCTGCATTGCATGACATCGCACACTTCACAATACTGGCTGCTGTGTTCTATCAGGCAGGTCAGCGCCACCAGCTCTGAGAAGACCTGTTGATGGTATTGGCCAGGTGCTAATCACGTTACCTGTCCAGCCGCGCGGTAAATGCTACCGATCGATCAGTGAGTCTACAGGTTAGTTACCTTGTCTCTCTGTTACTGTATTTATATCTTTATTTCTCTTGTGCGTACTGTAATTATATTTTTTCTTTTAATTGTCTTATTTTATGCCTTTGGTGTCCATTGCTTTGTTTTCCAGGTCGTTTTTGTCCTATTCTTGATGCCTTTTGTTTTATTTTGTCTCGTTATTGTTTCGTAATTTTTTTTTCATTCTTACGTTAGTGATCACGGCGTCATGTGGGTAAATTTGGTACTGTTGTTGAAGTTTAGTTCTCAGAAGGACTAGTGGTGATATCTGAGGGAGTTAAATGTGTGGGGTAAGGGAGGGGATATGACTTTAAGATGTCGAGGGAGATTGGAGGTGTGGAGGAAGGGAGAATGGACTTGAGGAGGATGGAAGGAAGGTGGAATGGTAGTGTGGAGGGAGAGAGAGAATGGAGGTGTGGATGAAGGAAGACTGGAAGTATGGAGGGAGGGAGAATAGAGGTGAGAAGGAGAGTAATGAGTGAAGAAGGAAGAGGTTATTAAATGCAAGTGACAACACATGAATAGTAAACAACATTATATTTAGTGTAGAATGTGCAGGGAAAACCAACACCTTTTGAGCGTACCACACCGCTTTTTCCCGATTTTGTCCCAATCTTAATTCAGTCTAGTTTATTTACTTTCAAGTTTAATACTTATTTAATACTTATTTAATACTTTAATATTTACTTAAAATTTTCCGTGTATATGAGTATTTATACCTCCTGGAAATTAATATATATATATCCCAGGAGACTCACAGTAGAAGTAACTGTCTTGGATTTGTAAGGGTTGGGCGAACTTGAATGATTCCACTGTTTACATTGTTCCTTTGATTCAGGATCAAAGGAATGTAGCCAAGAAAACATTCATGGATCTCCCTGAAATTTCAAGAGGAAGTTGGCGAGGAATTTACAGTCTGGTTCTCTTCTCTGATATCAGGGGACGAAGCTCCTTGGATTTCCCCTTATAGAGATGTTATTTATGGTCATTGTATTATGGTGTATCTTTAGATTTCCTTTGCTTAGATGGAATGGTTTATACCTTAAGTCTTGGTTAAATAATTTAGCTGTGACAAGTCTCTTTGCCT